AAAAGACCGGGGAAGCGGCTGTTTCCAATTGCATTATCGCGCTGTGATTAATTGCTGCCCGAGGTGTTCCATTGTCTCTGAGGGACGTCTCGGTTCTGCTTCCCGCCGCGTGTCTCCGCCTTTTTACGCCGCCACGCAAAACCACACCGCGCCACCTCTCTCCCTTTCTCTGTCCTTTTCTTCGACCCTTTCTCCGTCCCTTTCTACGCCGCCGCGCGGACCCCGGCCGCGGAACGCCACGTGCGTGCCGGAAGTGGTATTTTTTTCACTCTGTTCCGGCGATACGCTGTCGGACGGTCCGCGGTCCTTGATAATCGAATCACCTTGATCCTGGAGGATATTCCTGGACGAACTACTGGCTTTTCGAGTATTTCGGGAATCAATTATGTTCCACGAATTAATTGCAGTAGTTACGATCGTATTATACGAAACTTGGAAAATATTGCGCGATTAATTTTTGCTGTTCGATTTTATTTATTATTTGAGCATTTGTTTAAGGATAGAAGATAGGTAATTTCTTATATAAGATAACTTATTTTTTTTCTCAAGAAATTTCCATCAAAGGAAATTGATCGTACGCGATCAGCCGCTACTGTGCGTCGCAAGAAAGGTTCGCAGCTGATGAATACGAAGCCGCGTGCATAAATTGCAGGTTTAAATAAACGTCTTGCTTCGCCACCATTTCGATGCTCGACATTCGGAGAAATAATATACATAAGGAAAAAGAGAGAAAAAGAGAAGCGATTCCTTTATTCAACAACGAACGATGTGTATTTATCCTGAATCGGTGGCGCATTTATCGCAACAATGAATCAGTTTCAAATTATTTTATTTAACATTTACCCCGCGTTCGTAACTGACGTTATTAACTAATCCACTCGGACATCCCGTTTATAACCGTTCAATGACGTTTATTGTTACAACCTCTTACGACCATAATCGCTTTATAAACGCGTTTTAAACACACGCCTTTGTTACCGACGTCTGAGTTGCTGTTTAGCTGCAGTCAAAGAAAACACGACCAAAGCGAGCAGAGCAGATCGCATTACCGATCTGTTGATCCGCCACTGTGCACGCTTGAAATACAATTGCGATTCCACCCGGTCGTCCATACTTTATCTGTCAAAGCTCCCTTTATTAGCACGGTTCCTTTCGTACTATGTCGTTACGTTTCCTTACGGCTTCCACGCGCAAAATGGTCGACGCTTCTGGTAACGAAGTTGGGTTAATCGACGCGTATTCCTCGAACGCGCGAGCCTCGCGGTGATATTCTTTTCAGAGATCGTCTCTGGCTATGGAAATCTCGATCGTAAGTCACAATTGCGCTCAGTTACGCGTGCGCGAGCCGCGAGACACAATGCGCGTTAATTTGGTAATTTAAGGTTACGAGAAAGTGAGGTTATGTGGGCTGCGCGCGAAAGTAAATTTGCTCTCTTGGAAAGATGTCGTTGTGCAGCGAAGTTGGGAGACAGAGTTAGCTTCGAGGAACGTTAAATCTTACTTTGCATCGAAATTTTTTAGTCATTTTATTTTACATATTTTTTCTTTCGCGATTTAGAGTAAATCGAACATAGGTTAATTTAATTGTTTCGATTAAGCTTCGATAGGCTTGAGAGTTTCTGCAATATTTTGTAGATAGAAATGAATGCCAATATCTATTACAGTATTTTAACAGTTAACAAATTTATGTATTTAGATAATAATATTTAAATATCGACAATAATTCACAGTAAATTATTATAAATAAAAATATTCGCACTATCTAGAAAATTCTTCTCTTATTTGGAACAAATCGAACAAATTTTAATTATTTTGGTTAAGTTTCGATAAGCTTGAGAGTTTCTGGAATATTTTGTAGATAGAAATGAATACCAATATCTATTACGTCTTTTAACAGCTAAGAAATTTATATATTTAGATAATAATATTTAAATATTGACTACAATTCACACTATCTAGAAAATTCTTCTCTCTCTCGCTCTCTCACTCTTATTAACCCATGTTTACTTTATGACGATTCTCACGTAACTGTTTTACTCTGGCACATTCTTCTGAACATTTTTCTAACATCATTCATACTAGACTGCACTCGCACATGTAATGTTTATATCATCGCAAATGATTCTCACTTATTTTACCTCATTCCCATTCCTACATATAAAATCAACACTCACATATATCGATGCTGACTATTTTCGAAATTTTTCTTCAAGAAAAATAATTTCTGTTATAATAGCAAAATGTGAAGATATCGAAATAAATTTGTAAATTCGGTGTATAAATTAGTAGCTATACTGTTCCCATCATTTTTATACTAATTTATGTCGGTGAGATTCAAGAGATTTCTCAGACAAAAATACTTCATTTCGGTATTTCCTAGCTCCTAAAAATGGGATGTAAATGTGTCTGTAATAGGTGGGCGAAAAAATTTATCGACTTTTAATTGCCATTGTATGCGCTTTCACCGTGTGTTTCCATTGTATGTATATGCTTTCAATATCCATTGATAACACTCTTAAGAGCAAGAAAACGGAAAGACACCGAGTTGTGCTTTGAATGCAACGCGTGCGAGCACTATTTAAATACACACAATCGAAAGTGGAAGTAATTAGTACGTTGGGCTGCGAGGTTCATTGTGGCGCAGACGTTAGCATAGCCGCTAACTCTTCGTCTTCGAGGAATTTTACCCTAAGTCGATGGAGAGTTCGGCAAACAATGTCGACTATTCCTAACTTGTAGCCAGGAATTGGACGAGTCTCGTGTGTGCTGATCATACAAGCCAAAGTACTTGCACACGGAGTTCACACTGGACGTTTCCTTTATGAGTTCGCGGTGCAGAAAAATACTTTACTTTCCCGCTTCTCGGCACCTGCAGCCACGGACTCGAGTCTCTCTATCGCGAATGAATTTTCTTCCCTGCACCGATCCACCATTTTATTATCTTTTCTCACCTTTCTTCTAAACTTCCAACGTGGAATCTTTTAATTTAACCTCGAAACGAATCGTAGTCAATAATTGAAAACGATCATGTTTATGTGATGAAATAAATTTTCTTCCATGCACCGATCAACCATTTTACTTCCTCCCATCTTTCTTCTAAATTTCCGCCATCGTGGAATCTTTTAATTCAACTTGATGGGAGTCAATAATCGAAAAGGAATATTTTTATGTAATCGAATGAACTTTCTTCGATGCAGGACTGATTATTTTATTGATTATTTTCTTTTCCTTTCTCTTCCTAAATTTTTGCGAATATCGTAATAATAATTTAGGTATATTAAGAATATATTTTGGTTATTTTGGTTAATATTTTAAATAAGGTTTGTTATTTAGTTATTTTATTACAAGTCAGGATCTACGACTCTCGTGTCGTAAATAGGTATCTTTATTATATTATCATATCGTTGTGAAACTTGGCATGTAAATCGAGAGATGTAGGTTTAGAAAAGCAACTTCGAGAGTTATTTTCTATCACACGTAGGCTTACTGTACTTCTCATTAAACACTGTTTAATCGCCTGTATAATGCAACACGCGTGACAAGAAAGGCGCGATTAGACCCGCGATCTAGATAAGTATACGTGTACAATCGAGAGGTTAAGAATCGATTTGAAATTCAGAATCGCGTGAATCGTAAAAACTTGATAACATTCATACAGCGATTGAATATTTATGAACGCGTCGAAGTAACTGTCAATAAGTTTCATACTTTACATATCAAGCCTTCGCGTCTATTACAAGATCTATCTTCTAAGATTCGATATTCTTTCGAGCAAACGTTCCCAACGACGTCATATAATTTACCACGATATCGGATAAAAACGAAAGAGGCTCGTAACTCGATAAAAATGGCCAGGTAACAGCTGTCGTAAATTTATTTCTACGAACCACGAATATCGAAATCAAATAGAAAATATGCGTCAATATTGCACGATATTCCGCCATATTTTACGATATTTTACGCGCATTGGTTCATTCTCAAGACCTATGTGCAATTTCCAATCGCGCCTACGTTTATTCGCGTTTAATTCGCGATCTTCTTTCCGGTCGATCCGGGAACCGCGCGGCCCGCCATCTTTCCCAGAAAAATCAAAGTTCCATCCGTTCTTGCCCTCTCGTTCTTCATTTCACCGCTGTCTGCCGCCGCGCATACATGCGCGCGCAGGCTGCGTGCCGCGTAACCCTGTCGCGGACAGCGCCGTTTCTTTCGCAACTTTATGACACGTTCGTCGAGCTTTCTAACGAATGTCCGTCGATTTCGCGCCGGGCCTTGTTCCACTTTTTTAACGCGCGACGTCGCGCCCGCCGTACACGGCGTCAATTAAAAGTCCTCGAAGGAATTTTCTCCCGCGAACGCGTCTCGTTAATACGACGTTCCGGGAATACTAACGCGGGCCGGCTGTCTTTCATTAAGAAAGAGACGCGCAACCGGCGCAGGCCAGCGTTGCGCACCCGGCATAGCTATGGCCGTGATTAGGCGCGCTATGAAGCAGGGAAAAAAAATCCTGCGGACGAGTCTTCGTCGAGCGAGAGGCATCGTGCTTTCGTCATATCGCGCCTGGAATTTTCATAGTTTCGTTCTGGGAAAGTTATTCCCGCTCGTCGTTGCGTTTAATCCGCGAATTGTTCGCTGTGGCTTTGCTCCATTGAGCAGGGCAATTTGTGTTTTATGGATTGTGGTACTTTTAGTTAGATTCCTTTTGCTTTGGAAGCGTAAAGAAAACGTGGGATAAATTTCTTCTTTGTTTTATTGGTTCGCTGTTACTGTTGGTTAGTGTTAGGTTAGGATTGCTAAATATTAGTAATTGGAATTACTAGAATCACTAGAATCACTAGGATCACGAGACTAGTCGAGAAACGATTTATTTGAGGAAGTTTGCTTTCGTATTTGACGAAAACGCGTAGTTGGAAGGAATTGAGGATGATTTTTGTCGAAATAGAGCATATTTCTGTGCGCGGAGATGGGTTAGAAATAATTCCTTTCGCTTTGATATGTGACAGGCGGCATATGCTGGTCGTCCATCAGCAACGGTCGCTGCAAGGAATTACTGTCGCAAGGAGTGACAAAGGAAGATTGTTGCGCGTCGAACGCAGCGGCTGCGACCGCGTACTCCGAGGAAGACCTCGATAGCGGAAGTCTCTTTTTTTGGCGGGTGCTGGGAGGAGGTGTGCAGTGTCGTCCTTGCAGAGGTAAACGCGCGTACCATTTCTGCTGCGTCGTACTCTCGTCTCGGATTTTTTCCAAATTAAAAAGAAAATTAAAAAATTGAATTAATATTCTACATCTTTACATAGTATCGATTTTTTAAAAACAAAAAAATATTAAAAAGGAACGTCGATCCTTATAATATTTGCATAAAATTTCTCTAAAATTTGAATAATCGTAATTTCTGTGATTCTTCGTAAAAGAATTTTGATAAAGTTGATAGCTAGTTATAGTAACTTTTTTAGTTACTAAAGTTATACTAATTTTTAGGTTTGCTGGTAGTTAGACGAGAGAAATGGGAAAATTTATTGTGCAACCGCTGTCTCGCGAAAGTCTCGAAACTATCGGACAATCTTTGTTCGCAGAAAGCTGCGCGGAAGTGAGGTGCGAGGAAGGGAAGAAGTGCGTGGTGCGTAGAGGAAGACCAAGGTGCGTGTGTAGCCCGGAGTGCAAGGCACCGAGAGGAGGAGGCCCGGTCTGCGGGACGGACGGCAAGAGCTACAAAAATCTGTGCAGACTGAAGAAACGCGCCTGCAAGAAAGGAAGCCACGAGCTAGCGGTTGCCTATAACGGCCACTGCCAAAGTGAGTATGTATGAAAGAGATGGAATCATTATCATGACCGCCTTGCAATTGAATAGCCATCGACGAGACCATTTCGGATTCCCTACGAAAATTTTCAATTCACAATTTTCGAATTTCTTAATTTCCAAATATCTCGACGAATATAAATTTCCTGCGAACGATTACAGATACTGATCTAAAATGGAACTGTCGATGGTATCCAACTGCAAGGACTAAATTAACACACTCATTGCAAATAACTCGGCATAGATACGAATAATACTACTAAACGTTAACAAATCTGTTTCGTCAGAGATTATCGGAATTTCTCTTACATTTCTCCGCAGAAAAGTCATTTCATGAAAGAGTAGCAACCAAATCAAAGACTGTTTGCATTAAAAATCCTACAATCGGTAACAAACAAGACTAACTATTGTACATTCTTTACACGCCCCTTTCTGCTCCACCTCGGAAGTTCATCCTCGTTTCTCGGATAACAAACACGAAATTTAATCTAACTTGCTGAAAATGTACTACCGTACGAACCTCGAAACAACCAAATGAAATCTAACCTCAACGTCCATCGACCATTGGTCAGACCAATTGCCAAGCAACCGTCTAACTCCATTCGCTCGAAACCCCCACTTAAACCCCCGCCACGAACTAACGAAAGAAAAGCGTCCGGGGTGGTGAGAAAGCGCGCGTGCGCACACGCGGCCTAGGCGGCGCGCGGTTCGCTTGGCGAGACCGCGCGTGCGCGCCTGGCCAGCGCGGAAAACAAACAGGGAAGGCGACGCATCTATCACGGGGGCGGTTTACGACTGTGCGTAATAACGTGTAAAGTGTTGAGCAGGTTCGTGCGCACGGGTCCGGTGCGGCCAAGGCCGGAGCTGCCTGCTGGACCAGAACCTGAGCCCGCACTGCGTGAGGTGCGCCCGCAGGTGCCCACAGCCGCCCCCGCAACAGCGAGCCGCTGCACGCCCCGTTTGCGGGGCCGACGGAAACACCTACAAGAGTGCCTGCCACCTGCGACTCGCCGCCTGCCGCGCAGGTCGCGCCATTCCCGTCGCCTATAAGGGCCACTGCAAACGTGAGTCTCTTTTCTTTATCTTCGCTTCTTCGCGCACCGTCTCTCGTCCCTTCGACTTCTCTCTCTCTCTCTCTCTCTCTCTCTCTCTTCCTTTTTCGCCCACCACACCCCCGTCCACCCTTCTCTGCCCCGCTCTCCTTCTTCCTTCGCGACGCACTAGCCTCTGTTTGCCTTTTCCTCGCAGCCTCTTTGCACTCTCTTTCGCCTCTCTTTACCTCGTCGTCTCGACGCCGCCTCCTTTTTGCTCGGTTTTTCTGCGCAGCGGTGCGCAACCGAGAACGCGCTTGCGGCAGAAGACTCGCGAGTAAATGGTGGACGTCGGGATTGGGGAACGCTTGGGGGGTCAGAGAGGGTGGCTTAAGGGCGAAGGGTGATTTTATTTCGGTTTGCGACATCGGATCGGGGAAATGCGATTTCTTTACCGAATAGGAGATAATGAAGCAGGTTATATGCATAGAATAGTGATGAAATACCATGACCATGGCGATGTTTGCATTGGAAATATTTAATTTATGGGAGAGTAGCCGAGAGTGAGCAGTTGGTATTAACCCCTTGCACCCGGCGATATTTTCGTTACAGAAATATAGTAATTCCGAAGACTTCCTGCCATGAAGTCGACGATATTTTCAAAGCGGTAACTAAGAAGTGCAGATTAATTGTAAGACAATTATTTTATCTCGATATTCCACGCGTGGTTGGACAATTTTAAATTTCAGATATTAATTAACAATGATCTCTAGAATTTGATTAAATGGTGACTGATTGTGAGAGTCGCCTCTCGAGTGCAAAGGGTTAATTATTATTTCGGTTATGTAGGATTTCGTTTTATCTACCATGAGGTTTCAAAATGACTTGTTTCTTCTGGTACAAATTGTACTGACTTTTTATCAAAGAGGATTACAATTGCGTATACTGTGTTAGTTTCAGTGTAATCGTATTTTAATTTGTAATTATATGAAGCATATCTTTATCCGCAGGGAAATATGATAATTGTGTTAATGAATGAATTCAATATATCCCTAATGCACCTCGTTGATACTGTACTAATTCCTTCAATGAGATAGACAAGGATGGATATTCGACAGACAAGGATAGAAGCAACATTCGATCAACGCCATCTGTGATTTTCGCCTGGAAACTTGTCCTCCAGTCAGCGCCGTCTATGATGTTTGACTGGAAGCTGCAGGCAGTAACAGGAGCATAGAATGAGCAAGGAGGTCGTCTAAACCTCGTTCCACTCAAACATCATAGATGACAGCTACCGCTGTTTCTTAAATTTTTATTCGGCATTAGATTATTAATAAATTACGCAATTTCTGTGATTAATTTATGAACTTTTATAATTGCTTCGTAAAGACGGATCCTGTACCTACTTTCCAATATAATTTTGGATATTAATTTCTTCCTAATTAATTAATTACGAGCAATTATTCCCCGACGTGTTCGAACTGATGTCGAAGATGCTATTGGTTTCTCATTAATTATTGTTTTCTGTGCAATTAATTTATGAATTACGTGCACACATTGTAAGAACAATATCCTTGGCAATGTTGTCATAGCATTTTTGTTCATATTTTTCCTGTAGTTTTGCTCATAATTAATTATTTTGATGGACAATCGTGCCAATCCTTGTTAAATCTCGTATGCAGTCAATTAATTAATAATATCAAATTAATTAGCATCAAGTTATGTGCAAAAATTAGATAGGAATACAGCCCAAAGATTCTGCTTTACCACGCAATTATAAAAGTTCATTAATTAATCGCAGAAATTGAGTAATTTGTTAATTTTCCCCTGTCGAAGCTTCTCTGTCCTTTTCTAACTAACTTTTGGCATTGTCTATGACGTCACGTGGTATTCGACGACCTCCTCGTGCATTCTGTGTTCCTGTTACCTACCTCTAGCTTCCAATTAAACAACATAGATGGCGCTGATTGAATGCAGTTCCAACTTTATCTACCTCATTAAAGGTATCTTCCTTATCTATCTTACTGAAGGTATTAGGAACTGTACAACGGGTTGCATTAGGGGCATATCGACTTTATTTTCTGTATTTATTTAGTGGTTTATTAGAGATAATTGCAAATAAAATTGACTACCAATATTATCAATTTTATAATTTTATATTTAGCGAACATAGCATTAAAGAAATTCTCCTGCTGTAGGAATACCAAAAAATTGAAACTTTTTTCATTTTTCAACAATACTGAGCCTATAAATTTCGCAGCGTTGATATGAAACCTCTGCCAATTTTGCGATTTTGTATCAGGCGAACATAATATTAAAGGAAGTTGCACGATGATAAACTTCCAACAATACTGAGCCTATAAATTTCACAGCGTTGGCATGAAACCCTCTGCCAATTTTGTGATTTTGTATTAGGCAAATATAACATTAAAGGAAGTTGCACGATGACAAAATTCCAACAATATCGAGCCTACGAATTTCGTAGCGTTGGCATAAAACCCTCTGCCAATTTTGCGATTTTGTATTAGGCGAACATAACATACTAGGAGGTCGCTCGACGACCGATTCTAAGAATTCTCTGGACAATACTTTTACTGCTTGGCGATGCTATTTGGCCGATTTCGCGATTTTGTATTAGGAATACATAGCATGACTGGAGGTCGCTCGTCGACGGATTCCAAGAATTCCGCGGACAATACTTTTACAGTCTCTGTAAAAAGTCTGTGACCGATTTTGCGATTTTGTATCAGGATAACATAACATGAAAGGAGGTCGCTCGCCGAGACAGTTCCAAGGAATAACGTCATTACCAAGAATTCTCAGACAATGCTTTCATCGCTTCGCCGTAAAAGTTTCTGACCGATTTTGCGATTTTGTATCGGGAGAATATGACATGACAGGAGGTCTTTTGTTCCATGGATAATATTTTTGACAAACCCAGATTTTATCAGCCTATTCCGTAGAGCTCTTCTCGACGAGTGTTTTTGGTATATGAAACGTTTAAAAAAATCGGGGGATAAACTCTGTACGAATTTTCAAAGTTTGCCAGAGCGATCCGCAGATCGGCGCAATCGGACTGCTAAAAAACACAGTTCCCGTGATCCGATTTTGCTGATTTTTTGCACACGAGTTGCTTAGAGGTTAAAGAACGTAAAAAAGCAAAAAAACCCGCATTTCAAAATTTTGTCATAACCGGGCGCTTCGATGTATCGATCGTGAACTTCGAAGAATCGGCAAAAATCGGACGATTAAAGAAAAATAGATTTTTCTAGCCTATTTATTAGGGCTCTTCTTGAAGTGTTTTTTGGTATACAAAACGTTTAAAAAGATCGAGGGATAAACTCTGTACGAATTTTCAAAGTTTGCCAGAGCGATTCGCAGATCGGCGCAATCGGATTGCTAAAAAACACGGTTCCCGTGATCCGATTTTGCTGATTTTTTGCACACGAGTTGCTTAGAGGTTAAGGAACGTAAAAAAGCAAAAAAACCCGCATTTCAAAATTTTGTCATAACCGAGCGCTTCGGTGTATCGATCGTGAACTTCGAAGAATCGGCAAAAATCGGACGATTAAAGAAAAATAGATTTTTCTAGCCTATTTATTAGGGCTCTTCTTGAAGTGTTTTTTGGTATACGAAACGTTTAAAAAGATCGCGGGATAAACTCTGTACGAATTTTCAAAGTTTGCTAGAGCGATTCGCAGATCGGCGCAATCGGATTGCTAAAAAACACAGTTCCCGTGATCCGATTTTGCTGATTTTTTGCACACGAGTTGCTTAGAGGTTAAAGAACGTAAAAAAGCAAAAAAACCGGCATTTCAAAATTTTGTCATAACCGGGCGCTTCGATGTATCGATCGTGAACTTCGAAGAATCGGCAAAAATCGGACGATTAAAGAAAAATAGATTTTTTTAGCCTATTTATTAGGGCTCTTCTTGAAGTATTTTTTGATATATGAAACGTTTAAAAAGGTCCAGTGATAGAGCTGCTACGAATTTTTAAAGTACGCAAGAGCGATTCGCAGATAATCACTCATAATTAACTAATTCCTACGAAATTTATATCCAGAGTTATATTAGAATGTTCGTAAAGGGTCTGCCCTTACGATGCAACTAAAAAAGTTCATGAATTAGTCGCAGAAATTGAGTAATTTGTTAATTTTCCAATACGGAATTTTTCTAACGCGAAAAATTCAAATTCCAGCGGTCAGCGCCATCTATGATTTTGGACTGGAAGCTTCAGCTTCATTTTGGACTTGGACTTTTCCACTCAGCGCCATCTGTGATTTTTAACTGTAACTCGAGCTTCCTGTTAAAAATCACAGATGGCGCTGAGTGGAAAAGTCCAAGTCCAAAATGAAGCTGAAGCTTCCAGTCCAAAATCATAGATGGCGCTGCCGAATACCGCCGTAAAATTTTCGGTCGATTTCGCGACTTTGTATCCGGATAACAGAATACGAAAGGAGGTTGTTCGCCGAGACAGTTCCGAGAAATGACGTCATTTCCATGAATCCTCGGACAATACTTTTACAGTCTCGGCGAAAAATTTTTGGTCAATTTTGCGACTTTGTATCAAGATAACATAACATGATAGGAGGTCGCTCGCCGAGACAGTTCCGAGAAATGACGTCATTTCCAAGAATTATCGGACGATTCTTTTGTGACATCGCGCTAAAATTTCCGGCCGATTTCGCGACTTTGTATCAGGATAACATAACATGATAGGAGGTCGCTCGCCGAGACAGTTCCGAGAAGTGACGTCATTTCCAAGAATTATCGGACGATTATTTTGTGACATCGCCCTAAAATTTCCGGCCGATTTCGCGACTTTGTATCCGGATAATAGAATACGAAAGGAGGTTGTTCGTCGAGACAGTTCCGAGAAATGACGTCATTTCCATGAATCCTCGGACAATACTTTTACAGTCTCGGCGAAAAATTTTTGGTCAATTTTGCGACTTTGTATCAGGATAACATAACATGATAGGAGGTCGCTCGCCGAGACAGTTCCAAGAAATGACGTCATTTCCAAGAATT